GTATGTAGGGGTATTTTGACACGAGAAAAACGAATTGAACGTTAGATTTTCAAAAAACCGAAATTTCCAAAATGGCCGCCGGTTAAAGTTCAAAATGGCCAAATATTGATTATTTTGGAAATCTAAGTTCAAATGTGTTTATCTAATGCCAAAATATTCTCAAATTCCAAGTTTTAGGCAAATCTATCAGCAAAAAACCGAGGTGACAATTTTCGGTCATTTTGAACTTTAACCGGCGGCCATTTTGGAAATTTCGGTTTTTTGAAAATCTGACGTTCAATTCGTTTTTCTCGTGTCAAAATACCCCTACATACCGATTTTCGCGCAAATCCATCGACAAATAACCGGTGTGAATTTTTAGCCATTTTGAACTTTAACCGGCCGCCATTTTGGAACGGTTTGAGATATTGACTTCGGGTTTGCGCGAAAAGTTTTTTTTTTTTATGCTCTTTCGAACGAGCTATCACAAAGGGGGTCTTCCCATTTGAAAATTAAAAGTTGGGGTCCATTGCCCCCCCAAGGGGGGCCCCCCTGAAAATTTTAGGGTGGCCAAAAAGTAGCTCCCTTTGACCTAGGAACATCCCCCAAGTTTCAAATCTTTACCTCAATTAGGTAAAAAGTTAGAGGGGGTGGAAGGGACTTTTGGATCACCCTGTATATCTGGTGTGTATTTCTGACTAGCGGAAAGCCCGTGACTGAAGTCACGGGTCTAGATGCTTCACCAAAAATTTAGTTACGGGGAGCATTAGGCCGATATTGTTTCGGGGATGATGCCACTATTCGACCAAATGGGAGCTTATTTTGCCTGATTGAGCGTGCCATTTCACGAAGATACCGCTATTCGACCACGCGGAAGCTCCTATTGCCTACACTTAAATTGAGGGCGAAATGAAATGACGTTAATTTATCTTCTCCAGTTTGGTGAAGTGCTATTTTTTAAAAACGTTCCAAGTAATCGTGCAATTTCACGATGAAACAGCTATTCCACTATTTCCACGTTCTTATTTTATTTCAATCTCCCTCTCACTCCTTTCTTCTTTTTACTTTTCATTTCTTCTGTCTGTTTGCTTCTCCCACTTTCATTATCTTCTTCTTCTCTCTAAATTTATTCTAGCTTATTTTCTTTCACTCTTCTTGTTCTGCACCATTCGTTATTCTCCCTTTTCTTCATGGTCATCGTCATCATCAGCATCAGCATCATAATCATCATCCTCATCTCTCTCTTTTAGTGTTCATGTGCTCGGACGGGAAGTAAAAAAAAATAAAAAACAGCTTAATGAAGAACAGTTAAGAGGAGCAACTACTTTACTGACAAACGCGGTCCCGACATGACATATAAAAAAATTAGCAGACAGAGGACGTCTATTGCACGGACGATGATACCACTCTTCGACCACGTGAGAGCTTGTGTTGCCTACACTAATCATTGAAGGCAAACTGTCATTTCACGACGACAATACCGCCATTCAACCACGTAGAAACTCGTGTTACCTACCTTGAAATTTAAGGTGAACTGAAATGGCGTTACTGTAATCTTTCCCTGTTTGGTAAACCCTTTTTTTCTTTTTTTTTAATTAGAGAGATCGGCAATCCACTTGATAAGTGTTCAGCACAATTTATGGTGAGAGGTTAAGGTTTATCTACAGCTGCGTGAAGTAAGAAATTTCTCCGCGCAGGGGGCGCCACCGCTGTGTTTTGATTTTTTGGTCCATGCTATTAGAGTCTGTACAGCTTCACATGAGTCCTTGAGCTTTTATAAAAGTTGAAGGAATTTGTGTTTAAATCGAAGAGTCATAAGTTCTAGCCATAACATTCTTCTTCCTATTGACCCTAAAAACGACGTGAAAAGTCATTTCTGAAGCTCTGCAATTTGATCCCAGAAAAAAGTAGGGTTAAGCATGATGAGCTTGATGCAACCAATCGCGATTGATCGCTCTCAGCAGTTGCAGATATCTCTCTCCCACCGTGAGATGTCTCTCTCGCACTTACAGATGTCCCGTAAGAGAAACTGGGATCAATATATAGCTTTTATTATTAACCTTTCAAAGCTCGCGTTTGTTTCTAAGGATTCCAGACGTATGTTGCTAGAACTTATGAGTCTTAGAATTTAAGATACCTATTGTGATATTTAAATAATCACTGATTTCGGAGTCGGATTTTAGCAGCGCGACGTGGTGGATTTTTTCGGAACTACAGCTGAAGATTAACCTTAAGAGCGTGAAGGGGGTCTTGATCCGGTAGACAAAAAAAATGTAACATAACCTATAACCTACCAATTTGTGATTAGATTTTTTTTCATCTTAATCTCAATTCATAAAACTCGACACATTTAATTTATTTAAAATTCAATTAATTTAAAATCAAATTCTTTGTCCGGCAAGGATGAATTTTACTGAATTAGGATGAACATAGATTAAACGGGATAAATGCAGCTTTATGCTTATCAATCCTTTTGCATCTGGAAAATGCAGAAACTTGGTATTACGGACGTTTACGGTTGGATGCGAATGAAACTCTGGGTCCTATTAGTTTTTGGTTCGACAAAACATGCCTCTTCCGCAATGCATTTCTGAAATGTCAAATACTTTCAAAATGGCAGCATGCGAATCCACCCGTAAACGTCCGTAATACCAAGTTTCCACCATTTTCCTCACCATTTTGAAGTTATGCAGAATTTCAAAAAATCTGATGACAGATTAGTCTTTTTCATGCCGAAGTGTCCCCTGATACCAAGTTTCATGCAAAGTCACCGATAAGCAGCCTAATTTATTCTCTTGCCGCTCAAGGTCGCCATATTGACCGCCGCCATTTTGAAAAGGACAAAAATTTTCCGGAAAAATAATGCCAGAATCGTTTTTCTCGTTTAAAAAAACCTATGAGAACCAAGTTTCATCCCAATCCATCGAAGAAAACGGGGATTTAGATTTCCGATATTTTGAAATTTGACCGGCGGCCAGTTTGTCAAAAATCAAGAGTTTGACTTGCGGTCTGTGCCAAAAATTTTCTTTTTTAATTATCTTTGAATTGATATGCCACAAAGGAGATGTTGCCGTTTTAAAAAAAAAGTTGGGACCCGTAGCCCCCCCCCCCCCCCNGGGGGGGGGGTGGTGGGGGGGGCGGCGGCAAAAGTTTTGGGGCCCTGAAAGTAGCTTAGATTGATCTTTGAACATTCCCGAAGTTTTGTTTCAAAATACTGCTGCTAGTTCCGTCTTATCCCTGTCTATCCTGCTTTATATCGAACGATATCGAAGATCTATATACCATACAATATTATATCCCTACGAATGAAACCCCAAAATATGATGGTAGGGGTGTAAGGCATGCCATAAGAAAAAAAAAATATAAATAAAATTAGTTGGGGGGGGGGGGGGCTACGGGAGTTAGAAAAATGAGCTGGGAGGGGAGGGGTAGAATAAATGCTGGCAAAAAAATTAGAACTAACCTGGCAAATGATTTTAAAAAAAAAAATGGAAGTATAAAATCCGTTGTAATAAAATCTCGAGGACTCTAAATTTCATGTTCCCTGAGCTTCTCCGGGTCGATTACATGGGAGACCGTCTTTTTCTGGAGAATCGACGTCAATTTTGCGACCAAAGAGGAATCCTGAGAAATTTTTGGCGGGGGCGAGGCCCCCTTCCTCAGAGGATTACTTTCTGCCGTTCAGGGGGGTCAATTAGAACTCTTAGGAGTCACTTAAGATGTAAATGTGTTCTGCTCCTCAATTTGGATGCAATTAATTTGCGATTCGGAAAGGAGCCCCGATTTTTAAAATTAGGCCCCCCCCCCCCGTTTACCCCCCAAGGAGGGGGACTAGAGGAGCTTCGGGACCACGAAATTTGGATTTCTCGAGGTCGATTACCTCGGAAACCATCTTTTTCTGGAGAATTTACGTCAATTTTGAGACCAAAGAGAAATTATGGAGGGGGGTACTGTCCTCCTCTTTAGGGGATCATTTTTGGGCCTTGGATGGTCCGATTTTGGATTTTTAGGGGTCAATTCCACGTGAAATTTTCCGTGCTTTTCAATTCTGATGCGATCAATCCGCAATTCGGTCGGGAACCGTGACTTTTAGCATCGTGACCCCCCCTTTACCCCCCAAGGGGGGGGGGGGGGGTTACGGGACCACAAAATTCGGATTCCTTGGGGTCAATTCCCTATTCAACCCCGCGGTCTCCGACTTCGTACGACCTAAACCAACCGAGAAAAAGGCCTGGTACGGGTGGTCTGAAACACCCTGTATATACCAATCTCTTGCAAATTTAATCGTTTTTCGACAGAAGTGGCGAGATTTTCCATATTCTGAACAGAAAAAAAGTTATGAGCGAAAAACGGGGATAAACCGTAAATTTTAGTCGTTTTTTCAAAATGGCGGCCGGGGGGAGGGTCGGATCTGTCAGGCAAGTCGAAATTCGGATTCTACGACCCAAAAAACATAAAGTCCGCCCATAATTGCTAGTTCGACTAAACTTTCCCGCTAGAATTCTCTATTGCCTGGACTATTAGTTTATCTCTTTAAAGCACAGATTTTTCGGAGAAGGTCGATTTTTAGAGAAAATTCCGATTTTTCCAGGGAAAGTTGCCCTGGCCCAGAAAAACAAGTGTCAGTTTTGGAATTAGCGCTAAAAATCCACTCGAAATCATTTGATACCTTAACCTGTGTTGACCAGTGGAATCAGAAGAATCACTCAACTATGTAATTTTACATAGAAAAAAAAGTAATAGCACCCCCTTTTTCCCTCAGAAAATATGAAATGCGATAATTTTAAATCATACTTCAGAAGCTGAGATTTTATCTTATTGTAATGCTGCCTAACATTTTCAGTCAAAGTAATTAGAGTTTAAAAACTTCTCATGAAAGAATGGAATTCAACTTGAGAGGAGAAATGTGTAAGTAAGAAGAAATCAAAGAGATACATCAGAAAATCTTATGAAAAATACCAGAGAAATAATGGACAAACAGAATTGAGAATGCTGGAGGGGAAAAAAAGGAAGAAATAAAGAAAAAAAGAAAAATTTCTTATTATTTAATTTCCATGCAACCTTTTATCCACACAAAACTTTCTCTACAGTTTTAAAAATCAAAAAGATATATTAGAAATGCATGTTCAACAAAAAGTAAGCCAGTTAAGTGAGTTGCATACAAACATTTAACTGGGTTTCAGTAACCCCCATTCTCTTGATAATCTGTTTGTTTCCATTTGCTTTTCTTTGTTTTTCTTTTTCTTAACTAAACACGGATTTAAAAATAACCAGCACATAGACATACCTGAAGAGTTTGTCTCCCCTTCTTCTCTGACGAAACCCTCCACTGTTCACTTACAGCAACGTACTTAAAATTTTGTCATCGCTGTAGAGAAGTAGAATTTTCAAGATAACAAAAATGTGCGATGAGTCCGTTGCACACAAAAGATACAGCCGAATTAAGATACACTAATCAGGTAAAATCGCACGAAAATCACTTTGGGTACGACAAAGTAGTCTGAAATCCGTTCCTTTGCGCGCAATCTACGTAGTTAGTAACACGCTTTTTCAACTTTCCCGCGTCTGCGGGCAGTTTTTCTCAGTCATCACCGACCAGGTTTGCACGGGCAGAGGCGTGAAAGTTGTGACCTAAGGAAACAAACGATTTTACTAACTTTTTCTGTCATGTAATTTCAATCCTTTTCAAAAGTTTGTTCCCTTTCTCCTACTTTATTTTGCGAAAACAAAAACTTTGAATCAATTAAAATCTTACACAAGGAGAGTTTATAACAGTTGGCGATATTGTTCAGGTTAGGTTTCTCTCCGCGGAAACCTAACTGCTGACCACCGAGAAAAACTGTTTGCATACGTGGTAAATTTGAAAAAGCGTGTTACAAACTACGCAGATTGCCCGAAGGAGTGAGTTTCAGACTTTTTCGATGTCCCCAACGTGATTTTCATGTGAATTTACCTTTCAAAAGAATATGCAGTTGGCTGTATCTTTTGCGCGCAACAGACCCATTGAGTATCCGGCAATTTTCTACAAGGTTCTCGCAGGAACATTTGGAATCAATGATTTAAAAATATGTAGATAATCACAAACCCAGCTCTTATCATTAAACAGCGCATTCGGGTAAAATTGGAGGGCAAGTGCAAACCAAATTTGTATCACCATAAGTATCATCAATTCTTCCAACTCGTGGCCATATTTTCGTCCCTGATAGGATTGATGGCTGGGAAAAAAAATTGAAAATTATTTTTCATTTTTTTTTTTTTTTCAGTGTGCCTCGGAAATAAATCCTGAGGAGAAAGAGAGGGGGGAACCATTGGTCAATTTTTTTAAACAGCCATAATTTTTCAATTCATTGCGCAATTTACATTAAATGACTCAAGGCTGCAAAAACCTCCTACTGTATCACCTCATTTAGGTCAAATTGTATACACTAAAATTCTTAGTCTACATAAAATGTTAAAAGAAGAGGAATAAAACATGGTACGATTTCAATAAAGTAATCTAATGTAATCGTACGATTACATTAGACGATTTCGGTAAAGATTTAAATTATAAAGTAAAAATCAAACTGAATCCTCTAATAATCCTTCCATAAAAGCACAAGGGAAGATTAGACTTCTGATTTTAATTTCCTAGTAGGAAATGCTTGTTTACGGTACCCTGCGGGTCCTGGTCCTCGAATTTGTACGACCTAAACTAACCAAGAAAAAGACCTGGTACGGGTGGTCTTGGACACCCTGTATATAAAGGGTAAACATCTTGTAGGTATACACAGGAAAAATCTTGTACCTATATTACCAAGATTTAATCTTGTACTCAAATACAAAAAAGTCTTGTGTACACCAATATTTCATCTTGTACATGTATTTAAAAGAAAAATCATTTGTATTAGGTACTGTCTCCGCTTCTATCGAATCGATTATAGTGAAACGTGGTGTTAGGTAGCAGTTTTTTATGGAAAACTCAAATTTTTGGTCAAATTTCCAATATTCGAAAATCCAAGATGGCATTTGCGGTCAAAAATACTACCTTGGCTGCTGTTCAATCGATTTCAGTGAAACGTGGTATCCTGGTGGTATTTCTGGAGGAGAAACTTGAATTTCTAGTCAAATTGCCGAAATTCAAAAATCCTGGGTGGTGGGTGTGGCCTAAAATTCTACCCAAGCGTTTGTTCAATCGATTTGAGTGAAACTTGACAAACTGGGAGGGGAAAGATATTTTAACAAGCAACTCTAAATTTTCAATCCAATTTTAAAAAATTCTAAAATTGAAGATGGTGTACGTCTCCTAAAATCCCACCTTCCTTGCATGTTCAATCTTTCTTCAGCAATATGAATGGCAGTATATTTTGACCTGAACTCTGATTTTAGAGTCAATTTTTCTAAATGAAAAAATCTAAGATAGCACATGTAGCCTAAAACGCTATCTCGTTTATTCGGCGCTTATTCGACCAATTCGTGTACCTAAAACTTAGCATCACAGGGAATATTTTCAAAAGATACTTGAATTCGATGTCAAATTTTCAAACACTTAAATTGGTGTATGCTCACATGTATGCTGGCAAACTTTTTGAAAACTTTACTCAAATCATTTGAACATACGCGCTGGTATAGCATTTTAGACCATATCCCGCCATCTTGGATTTTTGAATTGTGAAAATTTGTCTAATACGACTGTAGACTAAATACGAGAATAGATTTGATAGGCTCCGAGGTAGAACATTTTTTTCCCACATAGTTCCTTTTGACTTAGGTAATTAAAAATCACAGCTAGTGCATTAAATAGGTAATTAAAAATCACAGCTAGTGCATTAAATAGGTAATTAAAAATCACAGCTAGTGCATTAAATCAAAAGGCACCACACATTGAACTGCCTTTAATTTGATTCATCATCGCTCATTCTTTGTCGTGCGATTTTTCAGGCGCTAATTCTATGGGATGCAATCAGTTATTTTGAGACATATTTACTTATGTCTCGGAATAGCTTATGTTGTGGAGAATCAAAATCTATCCAAAACTAAATGGAATATTTGGCACATAGTTCCATTTTTTATAAATAAATCCAAATAAGTTCTTACCATTGGGAAAACAGCTTCTTTTCTAGAATAAGGCCTATTCCAGTTATCTTCTGCCACTTGATTTTGAGTGTGTGGAGCCATTTTCAGAGGATTTATTTTACTATCTAGTTTTCCATTCTCTATACTTCTTATTTCTTGACGGATACCTGAAGATTGTAATCATGAGTATTTAACAAGGAAGGTCAAGTGAGGAGAAACTGAATGGTGAACATGGTACCTAATGCAATAAAATGATGATCTAGATGTAGTATCAAAAGTGCTCTAAACTACAGCTAAAGTTTTGGGAGTGCCGAAATTTATTTTGGAAACGTCAACATAAGTCATGAATTCCAACTATGTATATATAAGATGTACAGTGTACACTGCACACGGTGATCCAGACCACCCGTACCAAAGATGAGGTCGAGGTCGGCGAATTTAATGGGAATCTACCCCAAGAAATTCAAATTTTATAGTCCCTAAGCCCCCCACCCCCGTGCTCCCTTTGTGTGGTGAAGGGGGACATTGACCTTAAAAGTTGAGGTTCCTGTCATACTTCATTGTGAAATTATTCTTTCAAAATGAAAAAGTATCGTAAATTTTAAAAATAAATTGACACCGAGAAGTCAAAATCGACCCATCGCGTTCCAAAATACTAACCTCTAAAGGTGGGGGACAGAGCAGAGCTCCCTCCTCCCACAAAGTATCAGATTGCTAAATGGACGAGCAAGCTTGGAAAAAATTTGTTTTTTTCGTAATCAATTTCGACAGACCCAAAGAATCCGAATTTGATGGCCCCCTGGCTCTTCCAGGCTCCACTGATGGGTTTTAGAGATACCTTAAATTTTATCATTTAAAAGGTTCAGGGTCGCCCCCGTACCCTATCAGTAGAATCAGAAAGCAAATCTTGGCAACTGAAGAAACGAAATTCGATAAATTCAACCTCCCAGATCCAGAAATATCAATAAAACTCCCTATTACAAAAAAAGGAGACCTGACAAACCAATCAATATTTGCACAATGGAGAATTTGCACGCAATTTTTTTATTGCTTCATCTGAAAGTGCCTAATGAGCTGAGTTCGCAATATTTTTCATAATTTTTTTCTGACATGGGAAATTGGAGAAAAATTGATTTAAAAGTGAGAAAATGTGCCGCCTTGTGACGTCATCTGGCGGCATTTCCCATTTAAACACATGTACTTTAGCAGAATCGGTTATTTTGTCATATCTCCTCTAATAATTGCTCAATTTATGAATCAAGGGTATCTTCGTGTTCAGCTCACTCAGAGGATTCCACTTAAACAGGAAATTCATCAAATTTCAGACCCTTGCAAATTCTCCATTCAAAGATGAACATTCTGATAGCCTATTCTTCTACACAGATGGTAGCAAAACTAAAGATTATACCACAGGAGCAGTAATCAGCCAGGACATTGCTGTCAAGAGAACATTCATCCTGAATAAAGACAGAACAATTATGAGAGCGGAACTGAAAGCTATCAGTGAAAGCCTCAACCTAATCTCCCTATACAACGTAAGAAAAGCAGTAATATGCACAGATTCACTAAGTTCAATTACACTTCTTTCACAAAAGGATACAATCACGGACAACTTGGAATTAGAAGAAGTTCATCATTTCCTCGCCCAAAATAAAGACTTAATATTGACATGGACCCCAGGTCATGAGAATATCGCAGGCAATGAGTTGGCTGACAAACAAACCAAAGACCTCCGTAACGCCACAGACTACTCAAAAGAATTAATCCATTACTCTAACTACCAACGACTAACCAAAAGTTCAGTATTGCAACAGTGGCAAAGAGACTGGACAGAGAGTACACAAACCAAGGGAGCCAGACTAGGATCAATCCAACCGGTCATCTCAATGGAAGCCTGGTTCAGCCGCATAATATTAAGCAAGAAAGCTACCAACATAATATCTAGAATGAGAATCAGCCATGGGTTATTCCCAGAACACCTCAACCATATCAGACTGAAAGATAATGATAAATGCACTTGTGGCCAGATAGGAACTATCGACCACATCCTCCTTCACTGCACAAAAATCAAACAACCTACAAATATCTACAATCTCATGAGAATACCGGATCCTCAAGTGATAATTGATTCCAAAACCATCTTAGCAAGAACTGAAATCGAACTATACCAGGAACTAGAATCCCACATAATCAGTAATCAAATCTCATGTTAAACTTTCCATCATTTAGCGGTGGCCAATGAACTATACCTAGGAGTGCGCAAGCTCTCAAAAAAAAAAAAAGCCTCAAGGGGCCAGGACATCATCAAAGGATTCATTTGGTCTGATTATGTAGAAAACCAAAATTTTTCTTGTTAAGTTCAATAAATGAATAAACGCACTTTACGGAACTATAGATTTATTCATACCTAATTATTAAGAATAATTACTGAACACGCCATTCCGGCTGTAGCTGATAACAAGAACCTTGCACCTCGCGCATGCGTACTATCCTTTCAGGTGTGGCATTACAATGATTGCCAACCTGATCACACTTGTTCTAGATTTCACTATTTCAACATCTCTCAAGCCTGTGCGTATATTTTTGGATCTAGTATTTTTTGAAGGAAGGCACAAGGCTCTGTCCCCTATCTTTGGAAGTCAGTTTTCTGGACTGGGATTGGTCGATTTAGTTCAGAATTTTCTGTACTTTTTGATCTTGGTACAATAATTTCAGAATTATTCCGGGAATCTTGGCTTTCAAAACCAGAACCCCTTTCAACCCTCCATACGGAGGCGGGGGGAGGGGGGTTAGGAACTAAAATTCGGATTCATTGAGGTCGATTCCAAGAACAATATCGTGGTCCCAGCCCTCGTCTGACCTGTAATAACTTGAGAAAAAAACCTGGTATGGCTGTTCTAGATCACCCTGTCTAATTAAAGTCCACATTTTGAAAGTGGTAGAACAGCTCTAAACTCGGGGAAAGGAAAAAAGAAAACAGTCTTCCCCACGGGCCTCGAAGGCCGTCCGGAGTGAGCTTTCGAGGCTCGTCCGGGAGGATGTACTTCAAAGATAAACGAACAAGTAGGATGAAACAAATAGGTAGTAATCCGGTGGTCACCCCGCGAACTCCTTATCTACTTGGAATGAAAAGGAGACAAACCCCTAAATAGGGGTAAAAACCTTAACACTCACATTTCACAAACCAGGAGCGCGACACGATCCTCTGGACAGAACTTCTCAGACTCTTACTCTCACCGCTAGGATCGCTAATGTTCCCCCCTCTCCCCTCTCTCTCTTCTTTCTCTCTGGCGGGAACTTTAAACAAAGGTGACTAGCTGTCACATGGTGACAGCAAAAACACTATTTTCGCTATTCTTCGTCATTGTGATCATATTAAAAATCAAAGAAATCAGATTTTTTCTAGCGATAAATCGAATCAATTTTCTGTGAGAATCAAATAGATTCACTGAAATGGATTTTTTTTTTGACGGCGGTTGAGCCACCTAACAACTATTCTATCGTTTCACCTCTGGGAGTTAGGTAAGATACTTATCGCCTTTTCTATCAAACCAATCGACCAGTCGACCTGAAGGCTCCAAATGAGGTAAATTCCGGCAGTCTGTTGTGTTGACTCTCGCCAATCGTCTCTACAAATCTAAATATGTTGATGGCTTTCAGTTGATGGTAATTGCTATTTTTGAGGTATCTTAATCATTGATTTTCTTTGTTATACAACCAATATACGCAAAAAGAAATCAATCCTGTTGTCAGCGCTTTTACCGGTTTGCCTCTTGTTGGAACTTATCAAGTGTGCATAGACAACAGATGAGTTCTTATGAGAGCCTAACTGGTATTCACTACTGACAACAGGTCTGATTTATTTGCCCACACTGAGCCCTCCTCAAAAGAGTTTCTTGCCGGCATATGGTGAAAAAAAATCTATCGGCTGAAACGTACCTCTTAAAAAACTGCAATAATTATTGATTGACGGTCGTCAACGAATTTCAGCAAACCCTCTGAATGAACAGGTCCAAGACACTCAAATCATCGGCTGGTCAGTCCGACCATTAGTCTGTTAATCACTTTGACAACATATCTACCTACTAGCAGTTATATCTGAGGAAGTTCGTGACCAAGTGTGCAGAATGTTCTCGATCATGCGATCATGATCGCGCGGCCGCTCGCGTGTGAATTGGGGAAGCCTTCTTTTTTCTCATCATCTCATCTCGGTCGATTTTGGGAAAAAAACTGGGAGTGCATTGTTTTCTGTGCCCGATGCCCTTCAAGCGAGTTGTTTTATACAGGGTTATCCAAAAGTCACCTACCACCCCTGTAACTTTTTTCCTAATTGAGATAGAAGTTTGAAACTTTGGGAATGTTCCTCAGTTTTTAGGTAGCAACTTTTAGGTCCCCCCAAAATTTTGGGGAGGGCGAGGGCTAACTTTTTTTTTCAAATGGCAACCCCCCTTTTGTGATACCTCATTCGAAATATATTAAAAAAAGAAAATTTTTGGCGCAAACTGCAGGTCAAAATGTTGATTTTTGACAAAACGGCGGCCGGTCAAAGTTTAAAATGGCGGAAATTTGGCATCTCCGTTTTTTAATCGGCGGATGGGTCTGAAACTGAGAATCCTAAGGTCTTTCGGGACGAGAAAAACGATTCTGGCATTAATTTTCCGGAAATGGCGGCGGTTAAAATGGCGGCTAAGAGCGGGAAGTGGATATTTAGGCTGCTTCTCGTCGGATTTGTATGAGACTTGGTATCCGGGGGTATTTCGGCACGAGAAGAACGAATCTTTCATTGGATTTTTGAAATTTTTAAAAACTTCAAAATGGCGGCAAAAATGCGAATGGCGACGGTGGATGCTGATTTTCCGTTATTTTTCCGTCACCATTTTGACGATATTCAGTGTTTCAAAAATCTAATGAAAGATTACTTTTTTCGAGCCAAAAACCACCAGAGTATTGACTTTTGTGCAAATCCATCGGTAAACAGCCGTGATATGGATTTTCTGTCATTTTTTCGCCGCCATTTCAAAGTTTTTAAAAATTTCAAAAATCCAATGAAAGATTCGTTCTTCTCGTGCCGAAATACCCCCGGATACCAAGTCTCATACAAATCCGACGATAAGCAGCCTAAATATCCACTTCCCGCTCTTAGCCGCCATTTTAACCGCCGCAATTTTGAAAAGTACTGACATTTCCGGAAAACTAATGCCAGAATCGTTTTTCTCGTCCCAAAAAACCCAAGGATTCTCAGTTTCAGACCCATCCGCCGATAGAAAACGGAGATGCCAAATTTCCGCCATTTTAAACTTTGACCGGCCGCCGTTTTGTCAAAAATCAACATTTTGACCTGCGGTTTGCGCCAAAAATTTTCTTTTTTTAATATCTTTCGAATGAGGTATCACAAAAGGGGGGTTGCCATTTGAAAAAAAAAGTTAGCCCTCGCCCTCCCCAAAATTTTGGGGGGACCTAAAAGTTGCTACCTAAAACTGAGGAACATTCCCAAAGTTTCAAACTTCTATCTCAATTAGGAAAAAAGTTACAGGGGTGGTAGGTGACTTTTGGATAACCCTGTATAGAGGCGTGACTAAAGGGAAACATCAAATCCTGGGGAAGGCAAATTACCAATTGAAGAAAACTGAGAACTTTCTGCACCCCTGTTCTAGACTCACTGCGAGGTCGATGGACCCAGGTCAGTCCGTTGACAAGATGCTATTTGGAATTTCCCGGTCAGGCAACGGATTCCTCCGATTTGCTGCTCCACTACTTTCCAAACGTTTCATCGATTTGCGTTGCTCCGTTTCATAGTTTCTCCCCGATCCGCATAAAACCAATGTAATCGGATCGGGGGAACGGGGGAATCTTTTGACGACGTGGACACTCCTCGCCGCCGTTTCCCGAGGATTATCGCACTCAATTATCCGAACGGACTGACTTGGGTCTATTGACCTTGGACTTACGGATGAGAGCTTCACAAAATCTGTCCATCTCTTCTTTATCCTCTGATTCAGTTGGTTCGATCATCAAAGTTCCAGCGACGGGCCATGACATTGTTGGAGCATGGAATCCTAAAAAAAATATTTCTCTCAATGTCGGGAGACAAGTAATTCTACCGCAATATGTAGGTACTTTCTGACAAGTAATTTTATTTCAAAGCCTTTTCGTAGGTAAAACTTGGAAGTGTTAAAAAAGAGCAATTAATTTGACATTTCAATGCCAAGGAGTCAGGGAATACCTAGATTGGTGCAGGGAAGAACATAAAAGGCACAGTTAATTTTGTTGTTAATTTACAACTTGTAAGGAGCTCCCTCTCTTGTGAATTCTTATGTTGTTCGCTGTTTGAGGCGTGCTTTTTCAGTGGAGTTCATCCTCTGGACCTCCAATTGCTCGCTTTGCAAGTGACATTTGCGACTAAATTGTAAGCCAAACCAAGTCGATTTTGTTTTGGCACGCTATCATATACCACACCAAAAAAACATTAGGCACAACAAAAACCTCACGCGGTTTGCCCACACAACATTGTGGCCGAAGCACTCCATTATCAGAGCAAATACCTAAGAGTTTGACGCTGCAGAGCTATACAAATAAATTCTTGGGCAGCAGAAAAGCTATTTTTTTTAAAAATTCTGTTTCAAAGAGCCTTATGCAAAAACGGCCAATTCCCCCGTAGCTCCGATTGCTTCCATTTTTTAGTATGCTATTTTACCATAACAAAGGGCCCCGTTTCTGATAATTTCAAGTCCAAAAAAAATTTTCCCGCGCTTTGGCGGCGTTGCCAAGTTGCAACCTTAAAAATTCGATAACTTTTGAACCAATTGAGTTATTGATCTGCGGTTTGCGCTAAAATTCTTTAAAAATTATGAACTTTTGTTTTATGTATGATTTTTGGATGGAACGTAACATTAAACTTATGATTCACCTCTTTTTTTGGATTTTTGATCCGTCGAATTTTACATGTTCGTAAATACCCAAAAAAGCCATTTTTTTATTTTGAAAAAAATATGTCCAATCGATTCCTCGTCTGATTTAAGAGGGCGCTACGGTATTATGACAACGAAGAATTATCGTTCATTAACTGCCGATCCTTCGACGAGGTTAAGCAAAAATTGATAGAATCTCCGTTCCCTTTCTCATTTCATTTGTTCCTTATTGTCGTGCCCCCATTCCCCGGTCCATTCCATTTTATAATCTTGGCAATTGGTAAAAATGTAATCTGTATTCCCGTTTGTGACACTGTGATGGCCTAAAATACGGTAACCAATCAGAAATGGATTCCCATTGTCTTTACTCTCAGTATAAAGGGACTCTACCTAATACCTGAAAGGGGCACGTGCAAAACGGGCCATTTGGAGCTCAGGGCAGTTACTTTTGAGACTTGCCCTATTCATTTACCAACAATTTACCATCTTTTCCCAAAGTTTCAAGCCCCCAGACATTTTGGGGCGACGCGGCGGGGGTCAAAGTTAAAAACCGGCAAAATTTTCGCGAATTCATTACTCGAAAACAAGAAGGTTTGGAAAACGCCGTTTAAGCTAACGTATTCTACGTGACGCATAGCAAGAGCTTTCAGAAAATGTATAACATCATAGGGTTTTGTCAACTTCAGCTCGAGTTATTGCCTCCGAAGCGCCGAGTAGCTCAAAAAAGACGGCTTATTTTTTCACGTTCGGGTCGATTAAAAATAAGGCCATTTTTTTTTATTTTGATGAAAACCCGATATGTTGTTCCTGACTCTCTGTAGCCCCTCTAGCTCTTTACCACATGCTAGGAAAATGCAAGATCCATCCATATAGGTCAGTCATTGCGCAGATTTCCCCGCTCGGGGTAAGCCCCTTTCCATTGGCTCGTGACGTCAGCATTACTGCCGCGCAAACCAGAAAAGTCGGAAACAATGCTTTTCTTATGGGAGAGAGCAAATTTTTCTTAATGAATCATTTAAATTTCTTACTTTTAAATCCTTTGAAACTTTCTGTGTGTCGAAAAGAACGTTTAGACATTAGCATTCAGGGTTTCGATTTTGCCGAATTTGTGTTCTTTCATTTTTACAGTTTACTCTGCATCAGCCATTTTTACACGCGAATCTATACCACTAGATGGCTTGTTACATCGCTGACTTCAAAAATCATTTAAAAATATAAAAACGCAAATTCAGCTGAATTGAAACCCTTGACGCTAATTTCTAAACGTTCCTTTCGACACTCAGAAAGCTTCAAAGAATTTAAATGTAAGAAATTTAAACGATTCATTAAGAAAAATGTGTTCTCTCCCATAAGAAAAGCATTGTTTCCGACATTTCTGGTTTTCGCGGCAGTAATGCTGACGTCATGCGCAGAAGATTCTCATTTGGGTTTCGGGAATGACTGACCTATATGGATGGATCTTGGGGAAATGTTTTGGTCGCGAGTTATCAGGGCGGAAAGGAGCGAAGGTCGAGAAAATCTGCTATTTTAAACTGCCCGCGTCGACGGATCAGGATTGCCTACTCTCTCCCCCAAAGGAGCTATCATTGTTGGAACTAGTTGCAATTACCTAGGTTGAAACATGTTTTCAACTTCAAAGTATTGCTGGTTGCCTATCTTTAGATTTTAAACAACTTTGGTTCAGCAATTTTGCAATCTCAGCAGGTTGCAACTTTGTCTTCCGATCGGATCGCCGAAAATCGGCACTTATCGACCAAATAAGGTTGACCGAAAGTTGCAACTTTGTGGCAACTAATACTAATACCAACATTGTTTCAACTTGGTGCAACTTTTACATTGAAAAATGCTACTTGGGTGACTTCATGTTGATACTCTTTACCACCACAAATTATTAATTCCCACCTATCGAGTTTGGTTTGGGTGTTATAGTATCTTTCTGTGAGGAGGTATCTCTTATAATTCATTTAGTAGGTACGCTTGGGAAATGTTGCAAAAGTCGCTAAATTAAGCCACTTTAAAATGCACACAGCATGTGTGGTAAGTTAAATTTGTAATTACCGTAATCCATGAGACGTTTAGCAATGTCGACAGCCTCAATATTGGCAGTCCTCTTAAATTCCCGGACATCAAGAATGAATTCATGGGCGACCAGATTTGATTCAAATCCTTTGAATAATACCTTGTAGTGTGCCTCTAATAACTTGCACATGTAGTTGGCATTTAAAATAGCTACCTGTGTTGCCTTGCGCAATCCTTTCGGACCCATCATCTAAGGAATCATAAAAACAAAGTATTGAGGAGAAATGACAAAAGTTGCAGAGAGGGTAATTACAATTTCAAAAATACATCGCCGGAAAGCGGAAGTTAACCAAAAATTTTCACACATTCCCATTGATGTAATACTCTCGCGATGATTTTTTTTTTTTTATTTCTATCAATATATTATATTCCTTTTGATGATGCCTGTAAATTTCCCTGCTTTAGTATTCATCTGCTGCCTTTCAGCTCATGGTAAATAGAATCTTCCAAGACTGCTTCTATCGTTTCATTATTGATATAATTTAATCAATATTATAATTAAATGATGGGTGGTATTATTACAATGTTCAAATGTGTGTTAAAATGTGCAAACCTTGATATAAGCCCAAGATATCGGCAGAATGGCAGCAGATCCATAGGGCGCAGCACTAACTGCATTATGTCCACCTTCACTATGATAGAGGAAATCATCTCCAAAGGTTACAATCGAATGTTTTGGAAGGAATGGTGCCAAGTGTTTTTTTCTGAAATGATAAAAAATTTAAGACAATGAACAGTTCGAAATATTCGATTACGATCTGTGCGTATTATTGGGTCCCTACGTTAGAGATAGCTAGGGTTTGGTAAGCCCCCGAGGATGATCAGCAGGAAAAAATGCTGCGAGGGAACGTTGGAGCCGTGTAAATTAAAATTCTGATAAGAAACACAGAAAAATTCAAGACTTAGTACAACGTTAGCACACAAAGTTATCGAGTAGGTGCATTCTTGTTTGTAGCCTTCTACATATACTACAAAGATATTCAGATCAACATTTGCTATCGTTACTGAGGAAAAACAAGAGCTTAAATCCAACCATACTCTGGCATTTTCACCTATTCAGCAATCACCTCCCAATAATGATGACCCTAATAACATAGAAGTTTCTCATCTTTCTCTGTTTCTAAATACCTACCTATTCCATACATATTGGGATTAGGGTAGGTAGGTGGGGGTAAGAGTACCTACGCATTTTTTGGTTTAACCTGTATTTCCGTGACCGAATCAACTCTTAAGGCGGGAAAAGTGGTCAGGCACCTACTGCAAGCCCTCGCGCACAAGTGCCCTGCATTTTCCGGATTTAGAAATCAAATCCATGGCCGTGACGAATTTTCATTTGAAAATGCGTACTATCGCCCCATCCAATGGGGCAAAAGTACGCAGGTGATTTTTTTTTTTTTTTTAAACATCTCCTGGACTCCAAATTGCAGTTACATTCCGGAAAACGACTGAAACTGGTCTCAAAGGGTTCCAGTATATAGTGCCCAACAACTTTTACTGTGAAAAATAATAAATAATTCAGTCTTCACAAGCTCCCAAATAATTTTCGAAGTCAATTTTTTTAAACAGGAAAAGAACAAAGTTTAATTGCCCAAACTAAACAAAGGAACATAAAAATTTATTAAGATACTGAGTTGCCTACATCTTCTTTGTTGAAGTTCCTATACACCTCCCCCCTCCCACTACGCCCCACTTTTGGGCGCGTACTTTTGCCGCATTCTGGCTGCGTACTCTTGCCCCATTTGTAAACATTGAACAACATAAACTAAAACTTTGGGCCCAAGGCCCAAGGTGCGAAAACAACTACGGATTATTAGGCCTTGTCTCCATGCACGGGCCGTTTCACGGGATTTGTCTCAGGGAAAAATCCCACTTACGAAGTTGGGGAAAATATTGAGAAAATCAATACCTGTTTTTCCCAGTACCAAGATTGGTCTTTGTACCCTTAGGACCCACTGAGAGAGGAAGAAGAAGTGAAAACGAACTGTGCGATATTTTGTTGATTACTCCATTGTTCATGTTTGTTTCGTTAAAATAATGTGTCTGTATTGTCAATTGAGTGCAATTATTATTTTAATCCCGGTTAAATAGTCGACTTTACCCAACTACTTAGGTAATTTATCTTCCCGCGCAAACTAGTCGCAGGACTGTATGAGCCTCGTTCCGTGGAGACGGTAACTGGGAAAAATTTCAGAGGATTCATTCTTGCGATTCGAACTTGGGACAAATCCCATGAAAACGACCCGTGGAGACAAGGCCTAAAAGCCAAAACTATAACACTTTGACATGATGCCTGTGCGATTTTTCCATCAACTATTCTACTCACAACAGACAATAAAAATAATAAAAAAATCGATCTTTTTCGCATGAAAAGTGAATTTGCCTCAAAATTCCGTCAAAACACATCCGCTTCGCACAAAACTTCACCGAAAAAAAAGAGGAGTTCATCCAATCGCCCTGGAACCTGGCTCAACATCCTGGCGGTTGAAAAATTGGACTCTAACCTGTTGTTTGTATCAACAGCATGCTGGAACGGCAATTCAGTACCCTTTGGTCTGTTGGACTAATGCTCGAGGCCGCTAAGCCAACGGCCCCAGGCGGTAAATATTACCGCCTCGAGCCGCTGACGCAATAGCTAGGGTAGGTATTGGATTCTATGTCTAACAGGCGGTAAAATCTATACCGCCCCTGACTGTTAACCCGGCACTTCTGAGCCATTGCAAAAAATGCTTTAAATTAACGGAAAAATTTAATTTTCTATTTGTCGTTCATGTTTATGATTATAATTTAATTTGAGAACATCCTTACCTCCACCAGGCTATTCTACCGAAGATGATTCAATCATCCAGCACCCTTTAAATTCTTCTGTCCGAGGCGGGATTAGAACGCGCAACCTTCGGATTACAGCCGTGCGCCGCCTTTACCGTTTGAGCTAGCCAGGCTACCTGTCGGGTGCCTCACTTTTCACACATTATATAGCTTCTCCTATAGTATCTCACTATCTCAATAGAATTTCCTAGTGATCTTCTTGCGCGCTATAAGATTAGTTTGACCCATGAAATATATTTTTCTCTCTTTATGTCTCTCCCTCCTTTTATTTAATTTCAAACTATTAAAAAAATATTTTCTTTATATTTTAGCCTGAGAAACTACTTTCAGACAGTAGCAGCAAATTCTTGCGAAGTTTTGTTGGATGACTCAAAAAAAGGAGGAGGAGAAAAAAAAAAACAAAGTAAGCAAAAAATTTTCATGAATTTATCAATAAATTTAGGTAAATAGATAGTAGGTAACACTTGCATGTTTGTTACTCAAAATTGTTCATATATTAACTGACCTTCATTTTGTGACTGTTTTAAAGACTCATAGATTAAATTCATAGATCTTTGAAGATGCGAATATTTTGCGGCATAAAATGTTTTAAAGTCTTACCTAAACTATATAAATTTAAGAAAAACCACGTTTTGGTTTCTAACTTTGCCTGATGGTAAAAAAAATGTATTTATTTAAATTTCAAAATGCTGCATCTTCATCTAAAATACTTATAAGACGAAAGTTTGCAATATTTCTAACATCCCGTAAAAGCGGATTTCTTTTTCCGTGTATTTTAACAGGTTCTTTTTTTTACATTACTAAAGGTCTATAATATGTTGCTGACAGGGCAGCAATAAAAAACTGAAAATCATGACAATTTTAAAAATAATATCATTATTAAGGGACAGCTAAGAATGATCATGTTTTCCCTTCCCGAGAACAATAGGTAATTATTTGCGGGGGGCCAAAAATTCAAAGTCATCTTAATATGCCATGGTCATGTTGACGGCCATTATAGTGACTTCAGAGGAACCGTAGGCTCCGCAGTCTAGATAAGTGTTTGTTCAACGCCGCGGAGGCGGTAAAATGAACCGCCTGTCGATTACATTCCCGGGTCTACAGACGTTGATTTTACGAACTACACAAGCTGTTAATTTAAAATACTTTTCATGTTAATTTAACCGTTTGATCTGCCATTTCGTCAGATCTGACAGTCCGTCCATGCAACCGATTTGCTGGTTGCTGTTTTAATAACTAAGATATGTTGAGGTAGCGCCCAGGGCGATTAGATAAAATGGAAAACTGGTATTATATTTGACACCCAAAGTGACTGTTGAAATTACACCTTTTTTTTCGGTGTTCGTCAACAGGTGAAACTCAATGTTTCCAACAACCAACACCCGATGCCATCATAAATTCAAACAAAGCGCGCGAAAAAAGTGGGGTGCGTACTTTTACCTCATGCGTACTCTTGCCCACCTACTCTATGCTTTTGTAATTACGCTCTGTGTTTTACACATTCCTCCTCCGAAGCCAAAGTCTGATCCTCATTTAAGGGGCTTGGAGGATAAGGCGCATGTAGGTAAGTGCAGTTTTTTTTAAAATATTGAGGTATCAATGATTTCAAGTAAAACTAGTCTTAATGCATATTCTGTTAAAAATTCGCTCCCAAATGCCAATTTTTAAGGATCAAAAAGCAGTTTGAACTTTCTTACAGCCATAAGGATCCATATAATTTCGAAACTTCGAACACATATTTCTCGAAATACCTAGCAAAAACTGCACTTATGCGCCTTGTCCTCCAAGCCCCTCATTTATTATGAAAAGTCATTGAGATAACTTACACTCCTATGGGACCAACTCCCGGTCCGCCTCCTCCATGGGGAATGCAGAAAGTCTTGTGTAAATTTAAATGAGATACATCTGATCCGAAATCACCAGGCCGGCAAAGACCTACTTGAGCATTCATATTTGCACCATCCAGATAGACCTGGAAAGTTCATTCATGAAATTGACCCTGCTAAAAATTTCCCCCGGGATTGACATGTGATCACATGCGTGCCCGGGGGAATGACATGTGATCACATGCGATCCTAGGGGAATGACATTCGATCACATGTGCTCTCAGGGGAATGACATGTGATCACATGTGCTCCCAGGGGAATGACACATCACATGTACTCCCTTGAGGAACAGACAGGGGAGCCCGTGTGCTCCCCTAGGAGCTAACCTGTGACCCGTGTGCTCCCTTGGGAGCCTACATTTGACCCGTGTGCTCCCATGGGAGTGCCCATGTGACCCATTTGCGCTCTCGTGGGACCTCTCACGGTGTCTCGTGGATCATCGTAGAACTTCAGGGAAAATGGCACAGGCCCATATGTGACTGCCAACGAACTACACCTCTAGAATGGCTGACCAGTGTTAGAGACCCGTAACGTTTTGAAGTTAATATAGGTTAGGTTTACTTGGGCTCACACAGCAGGCTGCCATCTAAACCAAAGACATAATAAAGACGGAGTGCTCGTATCTAAAAGCAGGGGGAAAAAGTGAAGCCTGGTTTGGCGGTGGGTGCTTGTGTGAGTGTGTAAATGAGCGCGGGAATCCATGGCGGCGAACGGAAATTTGATTTGAACTTGTCCTCTTGATTTTTCCACATTTCTTCTTCGAAACGTATTTAAAATGCCTAAAACGAATATATTAAGAAAGTTGGGACTGCGTCCTATTATAATACATCTACTTTTGCTCGGTAACAGGCAGTAATCTCAGATAAAGTTAGTTTTTCTTCTGCTCATGGTGGGTCTGCCGGTTCAAACAGGCCGTTACAGTCGTAGATGACCGTTACTCCCAAATGAAATTAATCGGTCGACGACGGACCAAAACTAACCTAAAGTTATAAAAATATGAGTGTGTAAGTGAATTTGGGCAAAAATCAACCTAAAATACTTTGTTTCCGCAATTTTATTTAGTTCCCGCCCTACATTTGAATTTCAAACTTGTCCCGATTTCGCCGCCAATCCTACAGCCAATAGTAGAGGTGATTGAAAAGAAGCTTCATTTTTTGCTTTTAGCGCTCCGTCTTCATGTCTTTGATCTAAACCCATGTAAGACACTGCCCACCTTTTGCCCCAATTTAGTTGAATAAAGCGATAGCAATGATAGATGGCATTATAATCGCGCCTCAAAAGGTTTTCTTTACTCCAAAAATAGAAAATTTGAAAGCAAACCTCAAAATAATTAAAGTTTACAAAGGTTGAAATTTTCACATGTAATCCTCATGTGCGAGACGCGGCAGAAATGGAGATTGAGGTTAGCTATACTTGGGCTATCACCTCCCTCCTGCCTTCAAAAACGGTCCCATGCGCGTTACGCAGGTTTGCTATCTGGCGGCCGTTCTAGAGGTGTAGTTCGTTGGTGACAGCAGCCACTATGTATGTACAGTGGAGCATCACAGAACTATATCCATGGGAAATGCATACAGGACCCTACAGTGTCTTGCAAAGACGTCACCGAACTTGGGAACGGATACAATGCGACAAAACACCGCGTCTTTATCTACTTTAGATGCTTTACAAATTATACCCTGACAAAAATTTCCCTTGGGACTGGGAGTGGACACGATATCACACATGTGCTCCCCTAGGGGATGGACAGGAGAGCCCCTGTGCTCCCAAGCTAATGACAGCGATAATGGGACCTGTGCACCCATGGGAGTCTGGGGATCTTCAGTGTCGTCCCTCCGTCCCCGCGCGTCCCGTAGCTTTAAGGTTCGGTTGGCGGACTTCCGGCTTCTTGGTTGTTTTTTTTTTTTTTTTTTTTTTTCAATCAATTTAATAATTTACTAGCCGTTGTGGCTCGCTTCACTCACCTCGCGTGTAGCCGGGGGCTCCGCCCCCCTGAACCCCCGGTCACTCATAGATGTAATCCAAGAAGAACTCTTTTCTGAATATATGAATCCGAGAGGCATTCCTCCCTAAAGTAGTGTACTTGTATTTGTTCTTCATTTCTCACACTTAACATAACCCATTGGTTATTCATGAGCTGAATACACAATAAGTCTAGGAAGGAAACAAAAAAAAAAAAACTGAAGGAATTACAACTTCATACCTGACCGCCATGACTGTGGATTAGGTCACAAACATCCGCAACAGTTTCTTCAAATATTCCAAAAGTAGACGGATATGTTATCATCAAACACGATAAATTTTCTGTGTGTTCATTCACCTGCAAATTAATTTATAGCTAACTTGAAATTTTAATCATTTCAATTTCTCCAAACAAAAAAATAAAGCTAAAAATCAGCTTGAGAGAAAACGAAGAAGAAGAGAAACCGGCCGTGCCTCCTAATTGAATCACATCTCGATTAAAAAACAATGAAAATATTCCGACCCACAGTACGTTTTTAACACTTTTAATGCGGTCAACATACCACCCGCGATTTTTTTACGGAAATGTCAACTAGAAGGCTTACTGATTGAGGAACAACAAAACGCGAAATCTGTAGTTTAGCCGTTTTTGAGAAAATGCGATTTTTCGCTGTTTTGGCGGGAATTTCGGGTCAAGACGCTGAAAAAGTCAAGTTAGGCTGTTTTTGTGGCTTGTAAATGCATACCCTACACAATCATACATAGTTATACATTTTTAGTCAATCAAGTATCAGTAGATAGCTATTCGTGCATATTGCCAAAAATTGCCCCCAAATTGCCTAAATTTCAAAATGGGGGCCATAATTAGGCCTCCCGGATTTCGATTTTTTTAAAATACGCATACAGTGTCATGTAAGGTGTCAACTCCCGTGTTTTCTTGGTCATAGATTTCAGATATGAAGTTAAAAAAGTCCCCCGGTCAAAGGAGGTACCCCAAATCCAAATGGCAGCCAATTTTGAAAGACAAGAGGGTGAATTTTTAAAATGTTCGCGTGATAAGGCAAGTGAGGCATCATTTCTTATGTAATTTTGGTCGTAGATTTCATTTATGAAGTCATTAAAGCCCTCCAGTCAAAGGGATTGCTCCAAATGCCAAAATGGCGGCCAAATTTGAAAGGCGGGAGGGTGAATATTTTAAATGTTTACGTGAAATCCATAGTAAAAGTGAATCAGCCTGACGTTAGACTATGTTTCATAAACTACCCTGAGTCGGACTAATTCAGTAGTCTGACTCCCGTCTTTCAAATTTGGCCGCCATCTTGGTATTCGGAGCAATCCCTTTGACTGGAGGGCTTTTATGACTTCATAAATGAAATCTACGACCTAAATTACGTAAGAAATGATGCCTCATTTGCCTTATCACGCAAACATTTTAAAAATTCACCCTCTTGTCTTTCAAAATTGGCTGCCATCTTGGATTTTGGGTACCCCCTTTGACCAGGGGACTTTTTAAACTTCATATCTGAAATTTACGACCAAAAAAACATGGGAGTTGACACCTAACATGACACTGTATGCGTATTTTAAAAAAATCGAAATCCCGGAGGCCTAATTATGGCCCCCATTTTGAAATTTAGGCAATTTGGGGGCAATTTTTGGCAATATGCACAAATTCTACCGACACCGATTACCGATACCGATTATCTACTGACACTTGATTGACTAAAAATGTATAGGGTATGCATTTACAAGCCACAAAAACAGCCTAACTTGACTTTTTCAGTGTCTTGACCCGAAATTCCCGCCAAAAAAGCGAAAAATCGCATTTCCTCAAATACGGCTAAACTACAGATTTCGCGGTTTGTTGTTCCTCAATCAGTAAGCCTTCTAGTTGACATTTCTGCAAAAGAATCGCGGGTGGTATGTTGACCGCATTAAAAGTGTTAAAAACGTACTGTGGACCGTGTCAAAAAAAATTTGAAACTTGTTCGAAAAAGAGGAAAAAAGAAGGAAGCATACTTGCCACGTAAAACATCTCAATTGAAAAAAAAATTATTAAAAGTGCTCTTCACGCTTCTAAAACCCTCATTTTCGAGGAAGATGTAATAAGTACGATCGTGATAGGTACTTTTATTGGGAAAACCCCCTTTCCAAATTTTACGCTAAGAACTGCATGTATAATACATAGGCTGTCCCAAAACAACTGAGAGTAAGTCTGTATTTCAGAAACAATAATAGATATTGAAACGCGGTTTGTATGAAGTTGTAGTTCATATCCTTAGCTATCCAACGAGCCCAAGATTAGCTCATTTGGTCAAAATTTCGCTGAGTTACAGCAATTTTCCGGAGGCGCGTAAAAAATAAACCTACTGGATTTTTTGGTATTTTTTTTCTTGTCTGAACTGTTGTTCCGAGAGTCGCGCAGTTGATCGCAACTTTGCGGATCACGTTGGCACTGGTCTAGATGTTAGTTCTAACATGTCTGCATGTGCTTTCATTGCATATCAGAGTTTTCTTCAACTTCCCAGCTCAGTGAAGCCAACATTGTCTAGCGTTAATGACACTTTCCTACGCCGCAGAAGTTGACGGCCGGTCGCCATGCGGAATCAAAGCCGCCGACTCGCGACCCTCGGAAAAAGCTGCATGCCACCGATAAATGGTGCTCTTCCCAAGTCGATTTTCTCCATAAGCAACTGACATCTCTTTCACAGTATCAGAGGCAGTTAAACCTCGGCAAACACAGTAACGGATGGCATATGCGTTGCTCTTGTTTCAGCTCCGCGGGCAAACTCATTGCACCAAACGAAAACACGTGTCATTAACGCTAGACAATGTTGGCTTCACTGAGCTGGGAAGTTGAAGAAAACTCTGATATGCAATGAAAGCACATGCAAATATATTAAAACTTACATCTAGACCAAAGTTAACGTGATCCGCAAAGTTGCGATCAACTGCGCGACTCTCGTAACAACAGTTCAGACAAGAAAAAAAATACCAAAAAATCCTGTAGGTTTATTTTTTACGCGCCTCCGGAAAATTGCTGTAACTCAGCGAAATTTTGACCAAATGAGCTAATCTTGGGCTCGTTGGATAGCTAAGGATATGAACTACAACTTCATACAAACCGCGTTTCAATATCTATTATTGTTTCTGAAATACAGACTTACTCTCAGTTGTTTTGGGACAGCCTATGTAGGTACGTAGGATGTTCCAATACCCAAAAATGCTGCATTTTTCCTGTTTTGAGCAAACAGTAAGAGCTATTAACATGCGATTTACCAGGGCTCTAGATTGAATCCTTAGCATTGAAACAAGACTAGGTCTCACAAGTTATAGGTCTCAAACTTTAAAATTAACGAAGTGAAAGAATTTCAACGTGATTTCTAATGGACCCTGCGGTCCGGCAAGTCCCTCCAGCAAATCCTAATAAAGAATATCAAAGCAGACTTCGCAAAAATTCAAAACTGATTTGAAGAAAGCATGTTAAGTAATGGAATGAAGTTGACTATGGCCACAGTGTAACACTTGAGAACAGTTGGCAACCATGTTTCCGTGGCAAATTTTCTTTTACAACACACTGTTGCCACTTGCACTCTCCCTGAAGCGAAACTTCGGCAATTTTGGCGTTTGAGACCTATAATCTGGAAGCTGCGCAACACAGGCCGTCTTTATTATTACGATGACAAAACTTCTATTCCGTATGACCTGGCGTGAAGTGGGTTGTTCTGATGTAAGACAATGTTGCTGATTTTCCAATACTGCAGGTGGATCAGGATAGCAGGACGATAATAGGTAGCTAAGGTTCCATATCTTACTCTATAGTATAAAATCATAAGGGTGCCGTCATAATGTGATGAAATAAATATTACCTAAAATTTGCAGCTTTAGTAAAAAAATATCATGTCCGACCTCTCTAATTGACTCGATCCACTGTGCGTCTTTTTGGCAATAATTTTGTCCGTTCAGTTATCTCGGCGATTTTGCGGAAGCAAGAACTCCCAAAATTCCTTAGTCTACCTTTTTCTCTTACACTTACAGGGGCTCCCAACCCCTATTTTGGACGAAAAGAGTTTATGACACCGTGTTCGTTGTCTCTGAGCCTAAAAACCAACAAAAAGTCACCTTATGGCGGAGCAACGAGGATTAAAAATATCAATGTCCTCCTAAAAACGGACCATTTTGGTTGTCATCTTGGATTTGGAGTCCTCCTTTTTGGGTCGGGGGTGTTTTAAAGTGCGATATTCGGATTCCTCGCGTCATTTTACATAGGAATCGACATAGTACCTACTCGACACTATCCGCGAAATTTAAAACATTTCACCAAGATGGCGGCCATCTTGGACGCCATCTTAAGTCCTGGGCGTTGGTTCAATTTTTGAACTTGACCCCATAGAAATTTTGATCCTAGACATCCTAAAGAAGAGGACGGTATATCACAACAATTTTACCCACGAAACTGCACACCGGACCTCTTATTTGTACATGTATGGTACTGGAAAAATTCATTTACCTACCTCTTTGGTTGTTAGTATGGGTTGAAGAAGAGGGTAGGTACCTATGGATCTTATTTCAATATACTGAAATGCTGCAACTTTACCTTATGCTTCAAGTGCGCCAGATCGATACGACCCTCCGAAGTGACATTAATTGGTTCCACTTTCATTCCAGCCATTATAGCCGAGGCTGGATTTGTACCATGAGCGGAGACAGGTATCAGACAAATTTTTCTTTGAGCTTCATTCCTCGATTCATGATATTGTTGAATTGCACGAAGGCCAGCATATTCTCCTTGTGCACCACTGAGAAAAAAGGAAAATGGATACATGAAATTTACTGTTAGGATGAAAGGATCATTTATAAACGTCCCGCAATACCCAAGTAGCATTTTGCAACGAAAAAATTGCAATTTAATTGAAATATAATTTCCAGATGATTTCAACTTTCTTGCAAGAAAATTGCAATTATTTTACAACATCTGACCCCCTCATTGTAAAAAAGTTGCAATTTTTTTTTTTGCAAAGAAAATTCAATATTGACGACCTTTAAATTTCAACCCCTAAATTTTCCGGGGAAATTATAATAATTCGAACCCATGCTTACCTAATGTCCTACGACGTTTAGCAGCATAAAATTCCGGACGCCCTTGAGTGGGCTTGAACCCGACCCGCGAATGTCAGAGCGGAGCACTCTTCCACTGAACTACAGGAAGCTGATGATGAGCTGGGTTGAAATCACGCCTGTTAAGGCTGTTATCGCATGCATTGCGTCAGTGCGTGGCTCAACATTCATCATAGATTTGATTAACGCCGTTTTTCTCAGGCTTCTTTCTTTTGCCT